ACCCACTAGGAGCCCACACTGTGGCCAGGAGACCTGCAGACCACGGCCTCCGCAGGCTGCCACCTTGGGTTCCACTGGCACCTGCGCTCTAGGACTGCCCGGCCGCTCCCTCCTGCCAAGCCCCCCACCGGGTGGGAAAACCTCCGCTTCCCAAGGCTCCCCAGGTCCCTCTGATCCCCTCTTAAGAGGTCATAAAGCCCTCTGACTGACTGCCAGAAATTAATCTGGGTGTGCTCCTGCCTGCTGGACCTGGACGTGGCAGTCATGTGGCTGGGCCTGTCCCTGCCTGCGCCTTCTTTCTCAGAGCCCACGGTGCTGTCCCACGTGGAAGCCATCTGGACCTGGGGGTCTGTCTGAAAGCTCTGCAGGGAGACCCAGAAAGCCACAGGCCACATTGTGACAGTCAGTAGGCATGGGAAGAGTGTGGCAGGACCCTCACTCCTCAGCCAACTGGGTTAGCAGGCAGGGGCTTGGGGAAGAGAGTTCTGGGTCAGGGAGATGGGGAGATTGATTAGTGATGCCTGCCACAGGCATAGGGGGTCTGGAGGGTGCGTGTGCCATGCGTGTGGTCCCTTTAAGAGCCCTGCTTTCCAGGGTCCCAGATGCCAGTGAAGGCCCAGGGCCCAGGAGCAGAGTGGGAATGTGGGGGGTATAGTGTGACTGCCCGTGTTGGTAGGCAGGATGGGACATGGCAACCAGCCTGCACCGTGAGGACCGGGGCCTGCAGGTGGCAGGTTAATTGCCACAATCCTCAGCACCATCCTCGGGACCTGGAGGGGTAAAGCTCTCACTGACCAATGGCAATGTGCCATGCACATACAGGCTGCCAGTGAGGAATAAGAAGAGGCACTCCCAGTGGTCAGGGTCCCAGGACCTGTGCTCAACGCCAGCTGTGCCATTTAACAGCCATGTTGGCCTGAGAGAGTGGCATGGGTTCCTAGCCTCAGTTTCACCATCTGTAAAATGGGAGGCCCATCCTCGTGTGGCAAGACTTCAGGGAGGTGATGAAAGTGCAGTGGGGGTGTCCTGTAACTGTGACCCCCACATGGTGCTGCGCTGAGGTCAGTCTGGGGGGAAGGGAGTCTGGGTTGCAGCAGCAGGACATGGTTGGCAGTTCTTGGCAAGGCCCCTGCCAGGGTGGACACACACACATACACACGCACACATGGCCCAGGAAAAGGGCAGAGCCAAGCAAGACAGCGCCCTGAGGGTCAGAGCCCAGGCTTTCCCTTCCCAGGGACCCTGCCCTGCCTGTCCTGAGAATGGCGGCTCTGGCCGGGCCCCTGTCCTGCAGGCCCAAAGGTGCTGCTCCAGCCTTGTGTGGGGACCCCGACGGCAGCTGCCCTTGCAGGGATGCCCTGTCTCATCCCTGCCCTGTGGGAGCTGCAACGCGGACCCCCATGGCCTGGCTGGAAGGGGTGTGGGTGGTGCTGGCTCCTACCGGGCTCCCCTCTCCCTGCTTCACAACCTACAGGACCCTGGATCCTCATGGCAACTTCATAAGCAAGCTGCTACCATCGTCCTGGCTTCACAGACAGGGAAACCGAGGCCGACACACACACAGCCCGCAGCCAGCACTCACACAGAGATCTCTCCCCACCACACGGCACTGCCTTCTGCCCTCCTCCACCCTCTCAGGAGGACAGTGGCCCAGCGGGGGTGACTGGGGGCTGTACCCGGTGCACCGCCCACCACCGGCCCGGTACTCAGGAGAGGCCCGCCCCTCCCGGGCACACAGCAGCCAGTTTCCACAGGGCCGGCCTCCAGGGCCCTGCAGGAGCGAAGGCGCGCTCTGAGCCAAGAGGGAGCCTCGTTGCCACTCGGCTGTTTACGCTCTCAAGATCCCAGGGGCCGGGCACCCAAGCCAAACAGGCGCTCCCTGGGGAACCGCAGCTGGGCTCCCCTTCCCCTGCGACCCTCGCCTCCTCGGACTCCTGGGCAATGCTGGCTGAGGCAGGAGAAGCAGAGCTGCGAGGGAGACAGGCAGGGGACAGCCAGGACCCCGGGCAAGTGACAAGTTCTCCTTGCACCCCACCCCCCCGCAAACAGGTACCACGGCAGAATCTACTCGGGAGGGGAAAGGACGCCCGGAGCTGTGCCCAGCGACCAGGGAGCTCACAGCCAGGGAAGGCACTGAGTTCTCTCTAGTCCTAAGCTACCGCCGCCATTAGAACACAGCAATGAAAGCTAGGCATGCATGGTGGTGAACACCTATAATCCCAGCACTTGGGAGGTTGAGGCAGGAGGATCCTAGGTTGAGCTACAAAGTGAGTTCAAGCCCAGTCTGAACTACATAGCGAGACCGTCTCAAAGAAACCAAAATGAAAACAAACGAACAAAAAAACCCACACAGCATGGGGCCTAGACGGGAAAAACACCACACGAGCATTTTCTCTATATTCTGCCTTGTTTCACAAGACACCCTGCGGTCAACACTACACGTCAGCCTTTTCTTCCTTCTGGCCCCACTAAGGGCCTTTTCAGACAGATTCCCCGACATTCACAATGACCCATAGGATTGTCCTGAGCAGGTCTGTGCTCAGGGCGGCTCTCTGTGCTATAATAGCTGAGGGTTTGTGAGCCCCAAGACCAGGTCCTGGACCCTGAAGGGAGATGCTGCCCTGCCAGGGAGCCCAAGACACCAGCCTGCACCCTTAAAACAGAATGGGGGACACGGTCATGAGAGGCCAGCAGGACATACTCTGCCCACGGGCCACTGCCATGCAAACACATGCCGGCGTGGGGCCTGGAGTGACAGAAACATTCGGAGAGGCTAACTGAACAGTGTAATCCCAGAGGGAAGCATGGTCTGATGGCGGTTTGAACCCTGGGCAGCCCCAGGGATGTGGGCTGGAGTCTAGCTACAGTTGCTGTGCAGTCATGGCAAGCTGCCCACCCGCCCTGAGCGTGGTTCCATTGTTTGCTGAATGACAATGAGCCAGAAAGTACCCAGCCAGGTCTGACACATTGAGGATGCTCAGTAACGGTGTCCGGATAAAAGCCCATTGGCTGGAATCTACCAGGCCAGGGTAACTAAGCCATGGAGCCAGAACTTGAATCCGGGTCTCCCAGCCCATTTGTTAGCTGGAAGTACCTCCAAAACCACTTAGTACTTCCCCGAGACTCGGAAAGGAAGAAGGGGCCTCATCTGACTCACCAGGCCAGGTGGCCAAGGGCCGCAGTGGGCAGGGACATCAAGTAGCCGGTGCTGGGATGCCACTGCCACCTGGTGGTGACATACCTAAATTACCGGGGGGAACCTGTCAAAGGGGAAACACACACCTGCACGCACACACACAGACACACACACAGACACACACACAGACACACACACACACGAGTCTCTGCCCCTACAGTAAGAACGAAGGTCACCATCCAGATGGGCCAGCACTCTGCCGAGCAGGTGCCTATTCTCTGACAGCTCTGACTCTGCTTTGCTATGTGCTTTTATTTTATTTTTTTGAGATGAACTCACTACAGAGCCCAGTCTGGCCTTGAATTCACAGCAATCCTCCTGCCTCTGCTTCTTGAGTGTGAGGATTACAGGTGTGCTCTACCACACCCTGCAGTGGATGCTTTTAAAAAAAAATTAACTGATAAAATCGAACGATCATACACAAAGCAAATACCACGGTAACTGAGTACAAACACCACGTTCTGGGTGTGCTTAACACAACGTGTGGACCCCACTTTGATCTTCAATGTCCCAAGGTTTCGAGCTTGCACTTTTAATCTGCCTTCTAGCCACTGCCTCCCGCAATTCCCTTTCTTGCTCCTCCTCGCGCCTGTGGAAGTCGCAGGTTTCACAGGCTCTGCCTCCCAGGTGGGCCCGGAAGTCACGGTTGAAGGCAGAGCTCTACGGACCATCACTACAGACACCTTTCTCTGCTGATACCGATCTCGACGCCTTTGGAATGAAGTGTTTCCCCGACCTGTCACCGCGGCGGTGTGTCCCAAGTACGTTCTGCCCTGTGCTGGGCTATGAAAATCAGAACGAGCTTAACACCCTGGGGACCAGATGGGTGGAGACTCCACGGGCCACTGTCCCAGGTACAGCGGCCTCCTTCACCCCCCTGTATTGGTATTCAACTCCCTGGAGCCCAGCAGGGCTCACACACACTGCCCCTGTTGGGATGCTGGCCCCTGCGCGTGGAAAGCAGGCACAGGGGGACGGTTCCCTGTGGACACCGGGCGCTCAGCAGCACCTCTGACTGCCCTGGGCGCCTCCCCGCCTGCCATGCTCAGAGCCTACAGAATGGAAGATGGCCTGAGCTGCGCACAGCTCCTGCACAGAGCTGGAGCTCTGTCCACGCAGTTGTACCCTGGTGACTTTTTCTCGGCCTGAGACCTGGCGCTACAGGCACAAAGAGAGACCCATGGCTGACAGGGAGAGGGGAAAGTGTCCCCCCAGGGGGCAGGAGTGACTTTCTGGGGGCTCTTTCTGTCCGGTGCCCAGCTGTGGCAGGAGCCCCTGCAGAGGCAGAGAGAGGCCCCAAGTGTCCCTCCGCCCTCCCAGCAGGCCACCTGCTGCCCGGGGCTCTCCGTCTATGAGAGATGACGGCTGTGACAGCCACGCCACTCTGGCCACGCTGGGCCACGCCTTGTTCCGTGTGCTGGGTTGGGGGAGCAGGCTAGGAGAGAGGCTCACAGCGCACCCGCCACGGAGCGGCACTCGGACTCCAGGGCCCAGGGGGACCCTGAAGAGGACGGCAGGCTCCGGGCCCCAAAAGTGCCCTTAGATGTCTGACTCCCTTGGAGCTGGAGGTGGGAAGTCAGCCCAGAGAGCCAGATGCCGAGAGGAAGCCAGGCCTGCGGAGACGCTGTGAGGCTCTGCGCTAGGCACCGCCACACTGGGCCGGGGCTTCCACAGGGCAGGAAGTGGCACCTGACACCAGGGACCTTTGCCTCCCGCCCCTGGGAGACAAGCTGGCCCCGCGCCACCCCCCCACGCTGTGGGAAGGAGGTGGCCACTGCAAACACGCAGCGGGGTCAAGACTTACCTTCCACTGCAGGGAGTGGAACCACTGGTCTCGCAGGTAGCTGTTGGCGGCCTGCAATGACAAGAACCGGGAGAGGCGTGGTCACCATGTGCAGCATCGCAGGGACCCCACACACGACACCCGAGCCCCTGCCTGCTTGGGAACGGCGACTGCCCTGTGACCTCAGGGAGCCTTCCAAGAGACATGCTGAATGCTGTGAGCAAAACCCCTGCGGAAGGGCGCGTGGGGGCAGTTTCTGAGGGGCGGCTGCCCCTTGCACTGGTGTGGCTGGGAATGAGGGTCTCCACCTGCCGGCTGTGCCTGCTGCACCCTGACTTGTTGGGGATCACGGGAGAGGCTGGGTCTGCTGGCTCAAGGCCTGGAGGTAAGAGCTGGGGAGCTTCCTGGGACCTCTCTTCTACCAGGACCTGTGACCTCCACATTCTCTCAACAGCCCCCATGTTATGGTTGAGATCTAGATGTCCCCCAGGAGCCTCACCCACTCATCGTCAGGGCTTTGGGCAGATGACGGGGGGGGGGGGGTGATCTGGCCAGAAGTGTGTCACCAGGCTTCCTGGCTCCTCCTTCCATTCTCTGTGCTTCCTGTCCGCCATGCGGTGAGCAGCTCTCCTCCCCCAGGCCCCTCCGCCATGCTGTCCTGCCCTGGAGCCAGCTGACTATGGACTGAACCTCCATGAACTGTGAGCCAGAACAGACGCCTCCTCTAAGTTAGGGGTGTTGGGTATCATCTCTCATCAGGAAGAAAGGAACTAAGACGTCCCACAAGAGCTTCCAGGCGCTTCTGTTGCTACATTCATTTCACACAGGGAGCAGCTCAGACCCCGAGATCTCACCCTCAGCACCTGCAAACCCCCAGCAGCCTGACTTTCAAAGCCTGTGCGTGTCACCGCAGCATTCTTCCACCCGCTGCCAAGGGTCAGGGCAGAAAGTTCTCAGGCTTCAACTCAGGCACACTCGTCCACGTCAGAAATCACAGGAGAGGGCAAAAGCATTCCTTGATCCACACCCTGCTGATGCTGAGACCCTGTGCAGCTCTGCCTTCATGCTCTCATCTGTGCAGTGGGGACCCCAGCCCTAGCCCTGCACGCGTGTGTGAGGATCCAGGCAGCTTCGGGACAACTGGGAGGATGGCATAGGGGTGAACAGAAAGCAGTCCCCGCTGTTACTCTCATCCACTCCTCTCGAGCAGAAAGTGGCCCGAGGAAGCCAGGAGCAATGGACACACCAGCTGCTACCCTCGTGCTCGCCTCCAGCAGCTCTGCGCCAGCAATGGCAGAGGCCAGGGGCCCGGGGTGCGCAGGCACACGGCAAAGCGCGGCATGGACAGCTCGTTCAGGCTTTGTGACATGGCCTGTGGGGTTGGCATTTCTCAGCACAGATGAGAAAACCGAGGTTCAGGAGGTAAAAAAGAACTTCCCTAAGGGCCCTCGTTATGAGGTGAGGATCCAGGAGCGGCACTGTCCAGGCGGCCAGCAGAATCAGAAGGTCTTGTAAGGGAGGTGGCGGGGTGGTTGGAGACAGAAGCAGAGGTCACAGAGGTTGACCGTGGGCCAGGAAAGCGGTGCCTCTAGAGGCAGAACTGGCAAAGAAAGAGGCTCTCCCGAGAGCCTACAGAAGGCGCCAGCCCAGCCGCACCATGACACCAGCCTGAGGGACGGAGTCGGGCTTCTCACGTCCAAGAACGCCGCATGTGTACGGGCACCGCTATATCCACCCCCATATGTGGGAAGTTCTGGGGTGCAGTGTGGATTGTGGTGAAGGACCTGGACCTTCCAACCTAACTTTCCCCTGCTCTGTTCTTCCCAGGCAGGATCTGAGGCCCAGACTTCTCGCGGCCGTCAGGAGTCCTGTTTCCAGCTTCCTTCCGTGCACGCGGCACACAGGGCCATGTGACTTCCTATGCCAACGAAGTGAGCTGCTGTGACACCGGAGTGACCCTCCAGGCGCGAGGGGACCATGGGACCATGCACCGTGAGAGGGTGAGAACCTGCGCAGTGGGGGGTGCTCATCACCGCAGCATACCCCGGCCACCTCATTCTTCTGCCTGCCTCCCGCCCAGCCCGCACCCCCGCAGACACTGCCTTCCCTTCCTCCAACGCCTGCTGAACTCCCATGTACCCTGCAGTTCCCACCTGAGGGGCCACCTCTCCAGAATGACTGTCCTGAGGGTGCCTTCCCTGTCCCCAGCCAAGTCAGGCGATGATGCCTAACCCAACACATCATACTGCCCTGGCATGAGCCCTCTGGTGTCTTTCCCCCAGGCTACGGGCTCTGTGAGGTCAGGAACCATATCTGACTTTGCATCACTATGCCCATGCAACTCAAAGAAATGTCTGTTAAATGAAAGGCTGGCTGGCTGCTGAATCACGAACGACTGATTGGATGCATGCAGGCGTGGACACACATAGCTGCAAGAGTGCATGGATGGATGCATGGATGCACGCACGGATGCATGCACGGATGCTTGGATGGGAGAATGACGTGGAGGGATGGCTATATGGATGGATGAACGCACGCGTGGATAGAAGGGTGCGTAGATGGACAGATACGACAGGCTACATGAACAGGCACATGGGTGGATGCATGCATGGATGTGTGAACGGAAGGATGGATAAGGTGAGTGAGGGTCAGATGGACAGATGGATAGGTGGACAGATGCATGGATGGGTAGGGAGCATCATGACCCATTCTGTTCAATTAAACGAAGTTTTCACATGTAGAATTTCAAAAATACTCCAACCCCAACAGCCTCCTTCTCTGACTTGTAGTTGACTAAGGATTTAGAAATAACCATGGTGGTGTTTTAACACCTATTCTTTGCCAGGCACAGGGCTAAGTATTTTAATAGAATATCTTCAACCCCCTACAAAGCCAAGGAGACAAGTGCCATGGGTCAGTTCACAGATAAAGAAGCGAGGCTCAGAGAGGTTCTTCCTGCTGCCTAGGGCCACCCAGCCAGGGTGCAGCAGACCTGGCTGGAGCTCGGGTCCATCTGTCCCCACCCTGCTCTCCCTGCTGCGCATTTCTGGGGCTTCTAGCCTTGTGCCTCTGCTCCCCTGAACCCCATGCCTTGTGCTGGGAATCCGGAAGCGTGACTTCCCCTTGGCACTGCCTTCTGATGGCCTGGCAACTGTTCCAGCCACCGGGCGGCCCTGCCTCAGAAACAAGGTGGCCACAGCTTCCCTCCCGAGGATGGGGCAGCAGCTGAGGGGGCCGGAGACGTTGCAACAGGAGCTGCTCCAGCTTCAGAGGACAGAGGCTGTCAGCGACACCGAGTGCCCAAGGGCATCTCCAAGTGGTTTTTGTGCAAAGAGAAAGTGCTGGGTGGGGAGAGGGTGACAGGCCCAGCAGTGGGCCCCTCCCCGGGGTAAATCTTTCCAACGGGAAAGGGCCTGGTTCCAGGCAAGCTCTGCCTAATTTCCTCCTCGAAAGTTGCCAAGTTCTCTCTCATTGTTGCATTGTCTGGAAAGGTGAGAGAGCAGGCTGGGGAGCCCTGTGGGGACCGGTGACCGTTCCCAGGTCCCCTTCCTGGCCAGCTTCTGGGGGAAAACAGCATAGCCGGGCAGACCGGAAAGGTCTTTGCCTCCAGCTTCCAGTAAGAACGGAACCCAGTCTGCGCTGCCCAGCATCTGGGGTAAACAGCATCTGCCCCCCTGGGGGAGGCTTTCGGAAGGGCCAGGACCCTGAGGCTCAGGATTGTGGGGAGGAAGCCCCCAAAGGCCACGTGACGCTGTCCCCAGGGCGGGCAAGAGTCCCAGGTCGGGCCTTTATGTACCTCGGTAGCCAGCGGGCCTCACGCAGTGAAGCACTGACAGGGGCCTGGGAGGAAAGAGGCACGCAGGTCCCTTCTGCAGCCAGGGCCCTAAAAACATGGCGTGAGAACCATGAATCCAGCAGCACCCGGAAGCCCAGCACGCGGCCCCGGGCAGGAGCCGGGGCGCCTCTGTCTGGCACCAGGACCTGCAGCAAACTGTCACCTTGTGCCAAAATGCTCACTTAGCCTTCCCGGAACCATCGGGTCGGCTCCCTTGGGTCTCTGTAAGGCACCGATGCAAATTCTAACAAAGGATAAGGAGGTGCCCGGTGCGGCGGTGCACGCCTGCCGTCCCAGCACTCTGGGAGGCTGAGGCAGGGGGGTCAAAGATTAGAGCCCCGCCTGGGAAACTTCTCAAGATCTCGTCTCAAAATTAAGAGGAAAAAAAAAAAAAAACTTTACAAAGGGTCAGGGGTGTAGCTCAGCGTGCAGATTCTGGGTTCCATCTCCAGTACCAAAAAATAAAAAGATGAGGCGGTCCCTGGGAGACGGAGGGAGGAGGAAAAGAAGAGAAGGATATGCAGAGATGGACAGGGTTACAGCCAGGGCGAGGAAAGAAACTGCAGGAAGGACGGAGTAAGAGGAGCGAGAGAGAGGAGAGGAGGGAGAGGAGCGCAGGGAGAGGAGAGGAGGGAGAGGAGCGCAGGGAGAGCCGGAGAAAGTGTCAGGGAGGAGAGCAGACCACACAGGTGAAGAGCACCCAACAGAGACAGAGGCCGGCAGGCTGCGGGAGGCAGGGGGCAGCGGGGCTCCCCTGGGACCCAGAGCCCCTGACATCGCCCCTGGAGCGAGCAGAGGGGCCCCAGCTGGGAGCGGCTGGGCCACAGGATCCCAGGGAGAGGTCCCCGAGGCCAGCACTGTCCAACAGGACCGTGGGCATGAAGATGCCCCTGGGGGGTGCGGGCCAAATGGTCCCGCGGCTGTGCCAGCCACTGGGCACCCGCAGGCCGAGGACACGCGTGTTTAGCAAGAAGGAATCATGACGTCCGAGGCCGTGAGAAACCTCTTCCTCCCCGTCCCTCCTCCAGCCAGGTGCACACAGATGGCCCTGAAGATGGGCCAGGCGCCATCGCCCCGCTGGGACAGGGAGGATCTGCCCCCAGGGCCTCCACAGCAGCTGTCCCTGACGCCAGGGCTTGGGTCCTAACACTGAGTGTCACACCCTCATCAGGGACCCTGCTGGGTGCAGGGATCCGCCCACACAGGGGTCTGCGCAGACGGGGTGAGCAGCAGGCCGCAAATGGTGTAGACCGGATCGGTTCTGGAGAAGGTGGCCCAGCTCGCCTGCGACACTACCCTGGGGCCAGGTGCCACCCGGGCCTCCCACAGCCGCCCGAACTGCCCGACTCGGAGAGCACTCGGGAGCCGTGCATAGAACCGGGCAGCCCCCAGCACTGGGGGCGCAAGAGGCAGTGGGGGTGGGGGAAGACAGGGAGTGCAAGTCAACCTGGGGGTCCCGCCCCGGCCCAACGCAAGGACACCAGGACACCCAGCGAGCGGGCAGGGCTCACCCACCGGGGCTCCTGGGGCCGAGGCCGCCTCGCGCCAATCTGATGTGGGCATGGGCATCTCCCCGCCTCCTGCGCGTGGTCCTCCCCGCTTCCTCTCCTCGTCCAGCCTCGGGCTCCAGGGCCACGGGAGTGGGGGACAGCTCTGCCCCCACCCACATGATGCCGTCACCACACCAGCCGGTCAAAGGGACACTCCGGAGCCGGCCAGCAACCCACGTCCCTCCCAGCCTTCCTGCCCTCTGTTCCCGGGGTGGGCAATGCTGCAGCCTGCCTGGAGGCAGAGCAGCTCCTTCCGTCTCAGAAGAAAGGGAGCCGCTCAACGGCACCCAGGAGGAGGGACCCGGGGCCCCTCCTCTATTGCAAGAATCTCCCTCCTGCCTCCCGTCATTCACAGATCCATGGCTCCCCATTGCCCTCAGAATGTCGGAGGCTTCCCGCTTCAGCTTAGATGGCACGGACGACCTGGAGAGGCCACAGCCCTTGAACACCACCTCCCCCTCTCCCAGCCACAGTGAATACTCAGCCCCCCACCTTCATGCTCTGCCCAGTGTGACTCCCCCCGCTCTGACTCCTACTCATCCCTCTACACCCCGCTCGGACGCTGCATCCCTAGGGAGCCTGCTCTGGCATCAGCGCTGAATGAGTCACTGCTCCTCCGGGCTCTGGCCGCTCACTGGTTTATGGCTCGGCCTCCCAGAGGACGAGGGTGGGCAGGGAGAGGAGAGGCTCGGGGTGGGGGCACTGGAGTGGGCGGGTGTGGGGCCTCCTCCACCTCCACCCGCCCATGCAGGGGTCTTTGCGGAGGAGGTGGGCAGCAGGCAGGAGGGAGGGGGTCGCCAGGAGGGGCCGGTGACAGAGCAGGAGGACAGGGGCAAGAGGGCAAGCACAGGGGCCCAGAGGACAGAGAAGGGCACAGACGGGGCATGCGTGGTGACCCCGCACACAGAGGAAGAGCACATTTTCCTACAAGACGCCCAACTGGCACCCTGGGCCACCGAGCTCAGCGTCCCTCCAAGGCCGTCAAAGTGACGCAGGGCCGATCTAGTGGCTACTTCAGAAGACGGCTGTAGGGCGCGTCTCCCTGGAGACAGGGTCAGCAAGGAGATGCCCCTAACCAAAGGCCCAGGCCACGCGCATGCCCCCTCCTGCACGCCGAGAGTGGGGTGAGCTTCCTTTGGCCTGGGAGTTTCCAGCATGTTGTCTCCTGGGGCTCCCCGGCTGCAGGAGGAGTCGCTCCTGGGGTGTCTGCCCTGACCGATCGGCTCTGTCACTGCTCCACCCCTGTGTGGGCCTGCAGGGCCTTCAGTCAAGGACTCAGTGGGCCAGGGTGGGGGCAGGCAGGGACCCAGGGCACCCAAGGGGCGTGTGGGACTAGACTCTTCTGGAGACTTCACAAAAGGTAGGGGAAGGAAAAGGGGCAGCCACCTTTGTAAGGATCAAGAAGTCTAAGCATGGAGCTCAGCGCTGCCAGGACCCCGTTCCCACCACATGGGGAGGTTCTGTCTCACGAAGAAGCCACGCCCAGAAGCAAGCCAGGAGGGGGAGGGAAAGATGCTACGCAGTTCTGACTCTGCGACCTCTGGATCCAGCGGTTCCCGAAACCCTCTCCTGACTTCCCAGGCACCACAAGTCACAGCCTCACGTTCATTTTTGCCTCACTAGTCAGGATAACATGCGGGTCATTTCTCACTGAAAGTCCTGACTAAGACACACAGAAGGCATATTTTCTTTTCAAGGAAAGGGGTCATACTTTTATCAGTCCCAAAAGACAAAGTCAACAGGAAGTGACAAACTTCCTCATTCGAAGTAAAGTGAAAAGCAGTATCTGATGCTCATGGGCTCCACCTTCAAACTGCTGAACGCAAAAGTTGTTTCTTGGATTTAAGGGCACTATGGAGACACATGTAAGGCACCGAGACAATGACAGGTATATAGTAGGAGCTCGGTATGTGCACATTCCCACCTTTTCTCCAGGGAGCCCTGGTTTGTACGTTTTTTTTGGTTTTTTGAGGCAGGCTCTCACTATGCAGTTCAGGCTGGCTTTGAAATCACTCTGTAGCCCAGGCTGGCCTTGAGCTCATGGTGATCTTCCTGCCTCAGCCTCCCAAGTGCTGGGATCACAGGCATGCGCCACCATAATGGGCCGGTTTGTGACTTTCTTATCCTGGGAGTTAAACAACCTTTCCCCCAGAGATGGCTGCCTCCCCGGAGGCCTGCGGCAGGCGGCAGGAGAAAGTGCTGGGTCACGTATTTACCCTACCTGCAGCAGGACGGTGCCCCCGGGGATCGTGAGCTGTAAACAGTACTTCGGGGCGTTCTCCCAGGACAGCAGCTGCACGTCCTCGATGGCGCTGTAGGAGACCGAGTTCTCCATGTACCCAGTGGGCTGCAGCAAGAGCAGACAGGAGAGAGAGGCAAGGTTAGGAGGGTGGACATGGTAGCACGCGGCCGGAGGCCCCAGACACGCTGCCCCCCACGCTCCATAGAGACCTGGGGTGAAGGGAGCCCCAGGGGCTTTGTGAGAGCCGCAGCCAATGGAAGGGTCCTGGGGGGACTCATCCTGCATTCAGAGGTGCAGCGTGGGAACAGACCAGGGACAACTCGGGGACAAGGACTGGGGATCGGTGTCCTTCACGCCCTTGGGGCCCAGTGGATGCAGCTGGAATCCAAAGGTCCCTCAGCACACGAGGCCCTCTTTAGCCCCCACTCAGAAACCAGCAACAGCTCCGCCGGCCTCCCCAGACATGCAACTGCCTTCACCGCCCAGCCGTGTTCCCAACACTACAGCTGCCCTGCTCCACAGCCCTCAATGGCTCCCAGCAGCCAGGCCTGAAATCCACACCCATGCTCCCTACACTGTCCACTGACGGCGCCTCGACCCCAGCCTGCTCCTGTCCCCAAAGGCACCATCCTTGCCTGTGTGTGCCCCTGCCGGGATTCACCGTGCTGTGCTGCACCCCGCAAATGCAATTTAAAGTCCCTGCCCAAGGAGCTGGTTTCACTCTGGTGATACAGGACGCCCACGGGGTTTCCCTGCTTTAATCCCTGTCTGCTGATGCTGAGATGGGGCGTGGGGGACAGGGTTGACGGCTTACGCTGCCTCAACGTCTCTGATGTGATGGGTTACCCGGGACTGATCCACTGCCCTTCCTTGCTTCAGTCACTGTATTTATTGAGCTTCTCCTACACCCCAGGGTTCGGGCCGGGTACACGGAGAGGCAGGGAGCAAGACAGGCGCAAGCGGACAACGGAACACGCAAGTGAGTAAATCATGTCTGCAGCGGATAGAATGCAGCAGGGGCTTCGGCCTATTTGACAGTGTGACTATGTGGCCTGGGAAATGACACGGGAGGAGGGGGTGGCGGGAGAGTGTCCTGAGGTCCCACAGGAGGAGGCGACAAGTTCACCCTGCTCCTGTCACGGCCCCAGCCACCAAGCCGGGCGGCCACAGTGCCCCCAGGCTCCCCACGCAGCGCGCCCCACCGGCCCGAGGCCCAGGCCTGCTGTGCTCCTGGCCCCCTGCACTGAGGCAGCCCCACAGTGCCTTGTCCTGAGCACCCCAGGACCCGTGGGAACCTGCCCTCCCGTCCCACAGGCCACCGTGGGCCTGACACTCAGGGTGACCGTCATTTCCTGCTTCACAAAGAAGGGACACATGAACACCTTGCTAAAATAAAGCATTCTCGTGTGAATTACCTAGAGTCACGGCCACAGCGGAGTCAGGCACACCGGAAGGTGCCTCCTGTGTGGTTATTTTTAACTACACTTGCAATCCCTCCTTTCGGAGCCACAGTGGCAGCTGAGGAGGCCCTGCCTGGCTTCCTCTCAGTAGGCCTGGCTCCTGAGCTTTTGATACCCACACATGCTGGCGGGGAGGTGCTGAGACACAGCCCCTGTGCATTCAGACAGTTGCCTAGCCACGAAGATTCAGGGATGGAAAAACCCTCTTCAGCCTGATCAAATGGTACACACCTGCCACCCCAGCACTCTGGAGGCTGAGGCAGGAAGATTTCAAGTTCAAGCCCAGCTTGGGCAACTGAGTGACTTAGCAACACCCCATCTCAAAATAAAAATTTAAAAGAGGCTGCGATGTAGCTCAGAGGAAAGGTTCTAGATTCAATCACCAGTACTGCACAAAACAGAAAAGAAAAAATACATGCACACACACACACCACCCCGCATCTCTGCCGCTGGCAGGCGCTGTGGTATCACAAGGGGACCCCCATAGAGCGGGTACAGGCAGCCCGGAGCCCTTCCAGTCACACCTGGCAATGGGCAGAAAGCACTGGGCCTTCTGGGAGGCCGAGACGCTGAGGTTGATGCTGCTCAGCACAGAGACCAGACGGACATCACCTCGGCCTCTCCTTCCTCCTCGGGATGCCCCAGGGCTGCCCGACAGCCATCTTTATTTAAAAGCAGCCCGATCAGTCTGCAGCAAGGCTTTGGGGGTAAGGACTGGGGGCCAGTGAGCACATACTGTTTTTAAGAAACAGATTTGTTGCCTCCCTACTCTTGGAAAAGGCATTCGGCCCAAAGGAGGATCAATGAGACCAACCACGGAGCCACTGACTGCACCCTGAAGCAAGGCCGTGAAAGCCCCTCTCCGAACCCTGTTCCCCCAACCACAGGATCAGAATTCATTTCATAGAAAGAGGGAGCAAGGGCTGGGGATGTAGCTCAGTGGCACAGCACCTGCCTGGCAAGTACAGAGTCCTGAGTTTGACTCCTGGTATCAAAAAAGAAAGAAGAAAGAAAGAAAGAAAGAAAGAAAGAAAGAAAGAAAGAAAGAAAGAAAGAAAGGAAAGAAAGAAAAGAAAGAAAGAGAAAGAGAGAGAGAGACAGAAAGAAAGAAAGAAAGAAAGAAAGAAAGAAGAAAGAGGAAGGAAGGAAGGAAGGAAAGAAAGAAAGAAAGAAAGAAAGAAAGAAAGAAAGAAAAAGAAAGGAAGGAAGGAAGGAAAGAAAGAAAGAGAAAGAAAGGAAGGAAGGAAGGAAAGAAAGAAAGAAAGAAAGAAAGAAAGAAAGAAAGAAAGAAAGAAAGAAAAAGAAAGGAAGGAAGGAAGGAAGGAAAAGAAAGAAAGAAAGAAAGAGAAAGAAAGAAAGAAAGAGAAAGAAAGAAAGAAAGAAAGAAAGAAAAAGAAAGAAAGAGAAAGAAAAAGAAAGAAAGAGAAAGAAAGAAAGAGAAAGAAAGAAAGAAAGAAAGAAAGAAAGGAAGGAAGAAAGAAAGAAAGAAAGAAAGAAAGAAAGAAAGAAAGAAAGAAAGAGAGAGAGAGAAAGGGAGCAGTAAAGGACAGGGACATGCCAAGGGTTTTGCATGGCAGCTGGCACTCACCAAGGAGCCCATCGAGACAAACTACTGCGAAAAAGACTAACGTGGACCTCATCTCCGGGGTCTCCCCCCCATCACCCAAATCTAACCCTGACAAAGAGTTCAGATGAGGCCGTGGCAGACAGGCCACAGAACGGCCGCCCTGGGATCGCCAAAGCTGAGGGCCATCCCAGAGCCTGCCCGAGCCAGACGGGGACAGAAATGTCACGTGGGATCCGGGACAGAAAGAGGATGACAGGGAAACGAAGTGACAGAAGCCAGTGTGGGCTCGAGGAGTATGATGCCAGTCAGCACGGTCTCTGAGTGCAACACGTGGTGCTGGTTATCAGGAGGCCAGGAAGGGGCAGGCGGGGACCTTGTCTTGTCTGTGCCACTGTTCTGTACGTCTAAAACTGTTCTAACATAAGTGTTAACAAAACTCCAAACTGGGTGTGGCAGTGCCCACCTGTAATCCCAGACCTCTGGGAGGCTGAGGCAGGGGAATTGCCAGTTCGAGTCCAGCCTGAGCAATTTAGTGAGCCCTTGTCTCAAAATAAAAAATAAAACAGGGCTGGGATACAGCTCAGCGCAAAGGCCCTGGGTTCAACCCCCTGTGCCAAACCAAGCCCAACAACAACGAAGAACCCTCGCTGTGGCCCCTGCAATGGCCCTGTTGCTGGGAAGGGAAACGGGGTGCAGCAGACACCCCCTCCCGACGTGGCTGGGCTCCGGCTGCAGCGGTGGCCACGCGGCCCGGCCCCGCCCGCTGTCCCTGGTGTTCTCACACTGCAGGGACGGTGTCACGCAGAGCTGTGGATTACCTGGTGATCTGAACACAGTGACTAACGTTGTATCAGAGGAGATTCCTGCATGGCACAGGAGGCTGAATGGGATTAAAAGAACAATCGGAGTCTCCCCGCCACCCCGAGGGACCGAGAAATCCGTCTCTAGAGGTGTTTTTTGGAGAATGAGCAGATTACAAATTTCTCCAAAGGTAAAAGCAGACTGTGCCATTCCGTTTAAACGCCATCCTGGGGAACGATGGGGCCCAATCAGATGGCAGCTGCAGCAGCTGGGGGCGGTGAGGGGCTGGCTCCCAAGGGCGGGCAGAGCTGGGGGCGGCGGCAGCACCCTTCCCTCCCGCCGTAGTGGCGGCTCCAACCGTACACGGCTGTCAAAACGCCCCACTCTGTGCAGGAGCGGGGGGACTTGGCTGTATGTAAATTACAACATCAACCTGACTAAAAAAGGCGATGCGTGGATTCGGGTGATAATTTGGAAGGTGATGAATAGAATATCAAATCGTTCAGAAAAAAACTGTCTCAAGATCACTGGTGAGCACCTCGGCGGAGCAGCTCCTCGTCTTTAATACAGAATCCCCCCATCGTGCAACGTGGAATACAACAAGGAGCAAAACAAAAGAGAATAGGGCACAGGGAGGTAGGACTTTTGCAAAAGAGCAGGGGCCCAGGAGCTGGAGGGGGCGGGGCAAGGGGTCAAAAAGGAATGCAGATGTGTTACGTGACAGAATTCACTCCTGGGGGAATGGGGTCCGCGTGTGCCGAGACAGGTGCAATTAAACAGCAGAAGAAAAATCAGACGGTGCATGACTTTGTGACACCTTTTCACACAGCATGCTACGGGCACCCTGCATTTTGCACTGTGGTCCCCGGGGCCATCGTTTCAGTGGCTGTAGAATATTCTGCCACTGTTTATTTGGTCTCTGCCCCGCCCCCCACCCCGAGTGTTTCATCGCATGCTGTTATAAACAACTCCGCAGCGAACATCCTTGTGAAACATGTTTTTCTACCCTATATTTAGGATTATTTCCTTAGGCCGCATTCCCAGAAATGGAATTACTGGGACAAAGGGTAAGAGCATATTTTACGCTATTGCCAAATTGCCCTCATTACAGAGACATTACAGGGAACTGGGAGCCCTGGCCAGCACCGAGGGGCCAGCGTCCTTGGCCGTCAGCTTGAACGGGTCCTGCTCGAGGTCACGCTCAGACGAGGCAGCTCGGGGGCGAACACGGGGCACCCGACTTGGCTGCCCTATGTGAGCCGTGGAGACGCTGGCGC